TCCACTCTTCTTCCCCCATTAGGTGCTTTGGCACTCTGGGCTTGCATTAGCTTCTAGAATGCATCCTCAGGAAGGAGAAAGAGAGGCTGATCGACTCCTGTCGGTTCCACCTGACCATTCCAAAGACTTGAGTCATGGATGAGTAATAGCTGACGATACTGGTTGTGAGGGTTGACTGCTGAATCACATTTAATGAGGTGGGACGCATTCAAGGCATAGCAAAAAGAAATTGTATCTCTGTTGCAGCAGTCAGACTGCAAATCCTTTTCCCCCTCGATGTCGTAGTATATTAGAGTGTTATCTGAGGGGTCAGGAGAGCTGCTGGCTGGGCTTTAGTTGTTAAGTGCTGCTTTGTAGCTTTGTGACCTTGAAAATGTCAGATGATCCCTCTGGGCCTCGGTTTGCTCGTCGAAAGATAGTCATAATATCTACCTCGCAGGGTACCTGGGAGGACAAAAAGACAACGTAAAGGAAAGCTCTGACCGAGCCAAACCAGATTGGGCTGGGGGTGAGGGCGATAGAGGGTGGCAGTGCGTGGGGGAGGGCAGTGGAATGGGTGAAGCATCCCGAATTGCTCCTAGACCTCAAACTCTGTTGTTCTGTGAACCTGGGATCTATGGAGAAGAGGGGGGCAGAAAGGAGACTCACTTGGGTATTAACGATGATTGAATTATTTGATAACTGAAACTCCCAGAGAAATGCACAGCCAGAGTGAGGACAGTTACGCTGTTTGATTCAGTGTTGTCACAAGGATTAGAAGAGTTTACACGGCACAGAGCCTGGGATGGGTCAGGGCCAGCCCTCCGTAAAAACCAGTCCCTTTTTTCACCATCTTTCCAGAAAGTACACTTGAAATAAAAGACGACAATGATTTTTAAAGCAGACCTTCGGGAACAAATCTATTGTTCTGCCAAAAGCAGGGATGAATCACTTTGTGGCTGTTGTTAATTTTAACACCGTGTCCGTCAACACATCTACTTAGCCTGCCTAAATTTTGCCAATTTTCAGTGCATTACATGGGTTCTTTTAGAAAGTGATTTAAAAGCTCCACGCTAACTTGGAGAGAGGTTTATGTGTCATGGTGTGTGCGGTGTCTTTAAAGTTCGCAAGCCTGATTCTGGAAGTTTTACCTGAAAACACATTTCCCAGCTCTGCGTTCATGCCCGATAGCTGTATACTGGTGTCTAAAGAAATGGTTGAAATGGAGCCACAGTGGGGATGGTAACTCTCCTTTCTTCTCAAATATTATTGTAGATACAGCTGCAGGAATGATACAGGGATTTTTGTTTTTTTATTTGGGAGCTTTCCACAAGACTAATGAAAGAATTGGAATGAACACATTTTTAAAAACTAACTAACCAATAACCTAAAGGTAAATAACGTCTTTAGTTATCGACAAAAGGGGGTAGAGAGATGCTACGCCTGCTACTGTGTTGATTACCCAAGGAATTCAGGAGAAATTAAGTGTTTTCACCTAAAGTTTCTAAGTGCGTGCCTCAGTTCTTCATTTAAATCTAAGACATAGCTGCACTCTGGAATAAAGTACTTGCAAATGCGATAACTCACATTATCTTATTATCAATTCAGTCATAACAAATTCTCCCTTGTTGTTCTGTGCTGTGCCAGAAGACAAGGAAAAATGCATTCACCCCAATTCTCAAGCAGTTTATTTCTCCAAAGAAATTAAAATTTGTGTTTATGTTGGCAGTTCTGTCCCAACCATAGTCCATACCCCCGCCTATTTTATCATGGAAAGTCCAACTTACAAACACTGTTAATTGCATTACATTAAACAGGAAGCCTAGTTCAACCTCCCTGGGTTATAATCTCATGACTAAGAACTAAATAATTTATCTGAATATCTGAACCTCTGTAATCATTGCCAGAGGATAGACTTTTGGGTACTCACTGATTAAACCATAAGTAAAATGATCTGTTATAGTGAGTATCTTTGTACCCTAATGCCTTTTATTAGCATTTGGTCAGACAGATCAGCTGTCTGTAAAGATTCTCCCGGTCTCACATTTTAGTAGAATCATTGTATAATTAGTTAAACAGCACATAAATCCATCAGAGCTGCCAAGAACCAGTCGCTGTCCGTTGAGGCCCGATGTCTACAAGGCATGTTCTAGGCACTGTGAGGACACGTAAGAGAAGATACTGGCTGACCCTAAGGAAACCAGGTGTTGCTCATTAAAACAAATACATGCCGGAAGAATTATGTCAAAATGGCACATGACTGGTTGCTAAGTAAGTGATAAAGATATTATGTTTTATGCCAATGACAATTAGCCTTTAAGCTCCAAATTTATGAAATGCTACTCTGCATATAAAATGTTTCAGGAAAATAAGTAAACCTATAATTACAAAGGCATAAATTGAAATTACATACCATAGGCAAGTCTGGGGTGTATTTATGTTTATATTGTACTATATTCTTTAGCTCTGGGCCTTTTTATAACCTTCTGTTAAGGGTATGTGCCCAATGAAGGAATCTTTTGATTATCATTTGTCAGTTGTCGCTTAATACTGAGCATTCAAAATGGAAATAAAACCTTTATTGAGGATATAAATATTTAATCAGATTCATTTCATAATGGCTTCTTAGTCTATCAAAATCATTATAACTGGGAAATTAGAATAGAAAAAGAAATAAAAGGCATCTATATTGGAAAGGAAGAAGTAAAACTATCTCTGTTTGCAGATGACATGATCTTATGTTAGAAAATCCTAAAGAATCCATACACAAAAAAGCTATTAGAGCTCAGCGATAAGTTCAGCGAGATTGCAGAATACAAGATCAATATACAAAAATCAATTGTATTTCTATCAGTGGACATTCAATCCAAAAATGAAATTAAGAAAAGAATTCTATTTATAATAGCATCAAAAAGAATAAAAGGAGTGTAAGGTTTGTACACTGAAAACTACAAAACATCAATGAAACAAATTAAAGGAGAACCAAATGAGTGGGAAGATATCTGATGTTCATGGTTTGGAAGACTTAAGGTTTAGGAGGGCAACAGTCCCCAGATTGATCTACAGATTCAGCACAATCCCTATCAAAATCTCAATGACCTTTTTTGCAAAAATTGAAAAGCTGATCCTAAAATTCATGTGGAAATCCAGAATAGCCAAAACAATCTTGAAAAAGAAGAACAAAATTGGAGGGGCTCACCCATCCTGATTTCAAAACTTATAACAAAGCAATAGTAATCAAGACTCTGTGGTACAGGTATAAGGAAAAACATAGAGATCAATGGGATAGAATTGAGAGTCCGGAAATAAACCCATGCATTTATGGTTAGTGGATTTTCAACAAAGGTGCTGAACAGTTAAATGGAAAAGAGTAGTCTTTTCGATAAATGGTCCTGGGAAAAAGGGACATTCGCATGCAAAAGAGTGAAGTTAGATCACTGGTTCATACCATACACATAATTAACTCAAAAGGAATCAAAGACCTAAGTGTTAGCTCTAAAACTATAACACTCTTAGGAGAAAACATCGGTGTATATTTTTGTGACTTTGGATTTGGCAATGGTTTCTTAGATACGATACCAAAAGCACAAGCAACAACAGAAAAATTAGATAAATTGGGCTCCATAAAATTGAAAACTTCTGTGCTTCAAAGGACACTATCAAGGAAGTGAAAAGACAACCCATAGAACGGGAGAAAATATTTGCATATCACATATTTGCAAATCCAGAATAAATATAAAAATGTTAAAACTCAACAATAAAAAAGACAATCCAATTTTAAAATGGGCAAAGCATTTGAATAGACATTTCTCCAAAGAAAACCTACAGATGGCCAATAAGCACGTGAAATATGCTCAACATCATTGGTCATCAGGGAAATGCAAATCAAAACCACAATGAGATACGACTTCACACCCATTAGGGTGGCTATAATCAAAAAACAAAACAAAAACAAAAACAGGCGTTAACAAGTGTTGGCAAGGACGTGGAGAAATTGGAACTCTCATTCATTGCTGGTGGGAATATAAATGGTGCAGCTGTATTGTAAACACTTTGGCAGTTCTTCAAAAAAGTAAACACAGAGTTACCATATGATCCAACAATTCCACTCCTAGGATAAGGTGAATCAAAAACATATGTCTGCACAAAAACTTACACACAAATATTCATAGCAGCATTATCTATAGTAGCCAAAAAGTGGCGACAATCCAAATGCTCATCAACTGAAGAATATATAAACAAAATACGGTATATCCATAAAACGTGATATTATTCCACCATATAAAGGAATGAAGTACTGATTCATTCTACAGCATGATGAACCTTGAAAACATTATGTTGAGTGAAAGAAGCCAGACACAAATGGCCACATATTTTATGATTCCGTTTATATGAGATGTCCAGAATGCTATAAACAAAACCATAGAAACAGAAAGTAGATAAATGATTTCAAGGGACCGAGATAGTGAGAAAAATGGAAAGTGACTGCTAATGGGTATGGAGTTTCTTTGGGCGATGATGAAAACATTCTGGAATTAGATAATGGTGACGGTTGCACAACTTTGTGAATATACTAAAAAGCACTGAACTGTACACTTTAAAATGATGGATTTTATTGTATGTAAATTGTCTCAATTTTTTACATTACTATACTTTTCCTTGAGCATTCTACAAATTAAATTCTAATAAAGCATAATATAACTTGCAAAAGAATACTATCATTAAAGCACGTATTTATATATTTTGTTCCTAAGAAGACACGGAAGCAGCTCCATGATCAGTCTTAGAGATGGCATGAAATTTTGTCAGTTTTAAGTATCAGTGCAGATGGAGAGATAATGGTCCAGCGTTTCTCTCAAGTTGTACTGTGAAGATAAACACGACTTCATCAGTCCCGTTCTCTCATTATCTTGATGCGGACCCTTCTCACATAGATGGATCAGACATTTATTGTTCTGAGATTAGGGGAAGAATCGTAAGAATTTTCACCCAGAGTCTCGTATTTGCTCTCTTCCTCCCAGGTGCTCCCCTTCCCGAGCCAGGTGGTGTACAACAGAGTCGGCAAGTGCGGCAGCCGCACTGTGGTCTTGCTTCTGAGAATCTTGTCGGAGAAGCACGGATTCAATTTGGTCACGTCCGACATTCACAACAAAACCAGGCTCACTAAAAACGAACAAGTAAGTTGCCTCTGCCCAGGGTTCTGTTGTCTTTTGCCCTGATTCCTCTGTGTAACCAGTGGGTGCCTTACAGGACGTCCTTCAAACCCCTGACCAGTGAACACCAGAGTTGCAATTTCGCACCATACTTTTGCCAGAGAGTGGAAGGAAATTTAAGCGAAAGTTTCCGAAGGAAGTCTTTAAACCAAGAAGTTGCCCCGAAGGGATGAAGGGCAGGGTACACTCTCATTGTCTATTTGGCTAAAATTAGCAATGCATAAATCTCACAGTTATTCCACCGAGCTATAAATAATGCTGACGTCCTGACGGCAAAGACAAGAAACCTTTATTTTACTGTATCTCCCTCGGTGTTTTCTCACACATGTCCTAAGTCTTTATGGTTATAATAAAAAGAAAACCCTCTTTGGGCCAGGAGTCAAGTCTTTGGGTTGCTGGGGGCGTGAGCTTCCCGCTCTGGTAAACGCAAGGGATCTTGAGCTTCCAGGTAGCATTGGGCGTCTTCAGTGGGAGCAAAAGAATGACCCCATTTTCCAGGGACGATTCTGCCCTGATGTAGCCGAGCCACACAAGTGGACACGCTGTTGTTAGAGCAGGGGTGTGTGCTCTGCCAGGAAGCTGTGAAGATGGAATCTATGTTGTGAGCTTATACACAAGTAAGGCCCACAGTCTCCATTGAGGTGCTTTGCTGATGTAGAGAAGTTAGGCCTAGTGCTTTCATGGTCATTTAACAGGGTCAAGTTTGTTAGCCTGGTTTCAAAACAGTTGCTTCTGTCCCCTCAGTTACCTAAGATGAATGAGTAGCCACCAGGATAAGTCTGGGTTCTCCAGAGAACAGAACCAGGCGATATATATATATCTCTATCTATCTCTACCTCTATCTCTACCTCTATCTCTACCTCTATCTCTATCTCTACCTCTATCTCTACCTCTATCTCTATCTCTATCTCTATCTCTATCTCTATCTCTATCTCTATCTCCATCATGTCTATATCTGTATCTATATCTATCTATAAAAGGAGATTTATTATGAAGAATTGGTTGCAATTATAGAGGCTGAGAAGTCCCCCCATCTGCCATCTGCAAGCTGGAGACCCAGGAAAGCCATTGGTGTAATTCAGTCGGAGTCCAAATGCAAAGGCCTGAAAACCAGGGGAGCCAACAATATAGATCCCATTCCAAGGGCAGGGGAGGATAAGATGAGATGGCCCAGCTTAATCAGTGAGGCAGGAAAAAAGGGGCAAATTCTTCCTTCCTCCACCTTTTGTTCTATTCAAACCCCCAATGGATTGGATGATGCCCACCCACATGGGGATGGCCATCTACTTTACTGAGTCCACTGATTCAAATGCTCATCTCACCCAGAAACACCCTGACAGACACACTCAGAAATAATGTTTAATCTGGGCACCCCATGGCGAGTCAAATTGACACAGAATGAACCATCATGCCACCCAGTGAGTACAAAAGTTTGGGGAATAAACAAGACACGTGGTTTACTATCAGGTTGACGTCATAATTATGGAAATTTCCACCCATGTCCGTTTCTTTCTGATATAATCCTCACCTTTGGAGCATTCAAAACCTCACAGGCAAAGAGAATTGACAATAGCCTGTCTCTCTTTTATCTTGGGGGGTAGGAGGACTGTTTTGAGACAGTACCAACGCCAACAGTACTTGCTATAAAGCCAGCACGTTTAGCGTCTTTGCAGGATAAAGATCAAAATGTCCATTCCTTTGAAAACTTTCATTACAGAGCCGCTGAGTATCAAGTCTAAATAGTCATTACTGATCAGCAAAACATATTTTGAGATGATCCTTGTTGGTTCTGTAGAAAGCTCTCAATAGAAAAATTGTCCTCGGTAACATTCAAGGATATCACATTTTATAGATAACTTTGTTTAATAAGGGTAGGTTCTCTTTGATTTCTTTACCTGACTGAAGAGCTAGTATATTAGATTAAGCTAGTTAAGTCCTTTTCACTATCTGAAAGAAAGTGACTATAAATAAATAGCCTATGTTATTGCAATTTTATTATACCTATTAACTTTGGTTTTCCTTTGAGTCTAAGTCTGGGTCTGCTTATCAGATTATACGCAAATATTCCTGTGCGTGGAAACTATGCTCAGTTCTCAGATGCCTCGTAAAACACAGTGGCTCGATTTTAGCCCCCACTTCTGAAAGGGGTACAGCCACTCCAGAGAGAGGAGGACAAAGGTAGCTAAAGGATTAGACACTGAGGTCTCAGGAATGCCCTAGAAGGGAGAGCACAAAATATAGTATTTAAATACACTGGGATTTTACACAGGCAAACCTACTTTGTTTCCAATGAGAAGCAAACTTGAGAAAGTAAAATACAGTCGTAACTGTCAAGGGAAGGATTTAGATTAAAAATTAACAGTAATGTACTAACAGTAGATAAATTGTTAAATCTGGAAAGGGTTAAAGACACAGTCATCCTTCTCCTCTAAAATAGAGGTTAGCGCTCATCTGTTTGGAATGAGTGGCTTGTCTGGAAGCCAGGGAATAGACTAGACAATCTTGTAAGGTTCTTTCCAGCCCTATGATTCTGTGATATATTTATACAACTTCTAGCATAATCTGTGTACAGTGTAGTTGAAACTCTTCTGATTCCTGTGGTCAGTGTGACCTAGAATGTATTCCATTACTTAGCTATCCCAGATTCCTATTAAATTATAAGGCAAGTCTTAAAAACTTCGGGGAAAGGTAAAGATAAGGTAGAAAAAACAAATGTACAATTTTGACATAAAAACGAACATAAGGAGAGTTGCAGTTGCCTCTCTCCAGCTAGCTGACCGGGCTGTGGCACGCAAGGGAAGCAGGGAAGCGTCATGACAAGAAACCAAGTTCGAAGCAGTTCAAGAATGTTTAAAGAAACTCCCTTCCTTTTTATATATATCCTTTTACTAAAGTTTCAAAGTGCGTAAAACAAGCAGAGGAAAAAATATTATTTTCACCTAATATTTTCAAGAAGTAATTTGTGGTGTGAATAGCTCCTCTTGGTCATTTATTAAAGGAAAAAGGAGGAAGTGATTTAGGAGACGAGTTAGAATTTGATAGTCAGTGGTTCTCAACATTAAACAGCAGAACTCTGAAAACGTGTTCCCATGGAAACATCATTCTCTAGCATTCATAACCATCCTCCTGAGGTGCAGGATGAGGCACACAGGCTCTGCGGGCTGGCCTGGGACTCTCCACCGTGTAGAACGTTTCTTTTATGAGAAAATGTGTTCCAGGTGACAAACTACCGACTGACAAATGAACTTAGGAATTGTATCCACTTATGAGACTGGAATTATCTGTACCATTTCATTCATACACAAAGGTAGCTCTTTGGGCCAGAGTCAAATTCACACGTACATTTCTCCCCGGAGGGGAGCTGTCATAACACATAGACACATGCACACTCACAGTACTAAATTTAAAAAATCTATTTGATGGAATGAAACACAGAAGGGATTATTAAAAAGGAAAGGGAGCATGAAGACATCAAATGTTCGAATGCCTGTAAAAATCCCATTACATTTGTCCTTATAGAAATAGAAATAGAAGTTTATGTTTTAGAGAAGTCGCCTCAACACAATAGCATTGACAGGTACTGCTGGCCAAATATTGACCCTTGCATGGAATATAATGCAAACCCATGGTGACATCATTTCATTTATGCTCTGAATCCAGATTTCAGTGTCTTGGGCTGGTTTAGATAATCTCTTGGAAAATGGAGATTATGTACAATGTGAAAGATGGGGAACTAATTTCCAGAAGACACCTGCGTGATTGCCAAAAGACTCATAACCATCTTTGTCAATGATCTGACTCGGTCTCTCAGAAGACTGCTCTAAAGGCATATCACAGACATAAGAATTCAGAATTATTTCATTCTTATTGAAGGGCAAACGTTGTTGGCCTCTGAGCCTAAAAGATTGAGAAAGCAAATAACTTTACTATTTTTGTTTATATTGGAACTGCTGAGGATTATAAATTGGAAATAGCTCCTGCTACATGCTAATTGTTTTACTTCATTATAAATTTAACTCTTTTGGACCTGAAACTATACCAGTGAGTGGGTATGATTCCCTATTTTATGGATGAGAAAACTAAGAAAACCAGGTTAGTCTCTTTCCAAATGTCATTAATAGAATGAACATCGGTTGCCCCTGGACTTGAACTTTGGCCCTCCCATTCCCCTAATGCGGTGATCATCCCTCTGGCTGCACAGCAGACCCTCCAGCAGCCTTTGGAAACATATAGTGCAATGACCCTTCTCCTGAAGATTCTGGGGTAGAATCCAGAAGAGTTTGTTTTTAAATAAAGGGCCAGAGGAGATCCTACGGTACAGAGGGAGTTAAGAATCCCTGCCCAAACTGTCATATCAGCATTTCCGTAAGTGTGTTCCTGAGAATCCTAGGCCCCTAAGACACTGAAAAAAAGAAAGTGTCACAGTTAAATAATTTGGGAAATGCTGCTCCCTTGTCCCCTCTAGGAGATTCACAACAATTACCCACCTTTTAAAGACTCTGGGAACTCTTTCAATTAAAAATCTGTTTAACTGGCTCTCCCCCCGTGTCTCCAGTTAGCCAGGGAGCTCTTTACGAGTGTTTGTGACTCTCACCTGCGTCCCGCAGAACTCGATTCCAAGTTTGGGAAATGCTGGACTAGCTGTACCCTTCCGTCAGTCAAACCAGTGAAGGCTGCTGTTTCACTGTAACTACGTGTCTGCTCGGGCTCTATTCAGTGGCAATTCAAATTATCAAAACCTGGAAAAGTGTTCCAAGGGTGCAGGAGACAGAGAGACCCCAGGCCCGTGGGCTCTAGATTGCTTTAGCCTCCTGGTCAAAAACAGAATTCCTTCACAGCGCTTCAAACTTCATTCCCATTGCCCTCACCCACGGCGAGTTCTAAGGCCGACTGTACCTATAGAGCAATGAGTCTCTGAAAAAGAAAACTGACCCAAAGAAACCATGTTAGATTTGGACACAGTC